TTAACTAAAATACTGAATTACTTTGTACCTATTTGAAGCAAATAAACATGATCTCTCTTATTTTCAATAAATACGAATGTTTGTAAGAAACAAAAGAAAAATTTGTTTTTAAATATTTATTCACTCTTGCTTCGAAGCACATCTGTAAAATACTTTGATTAATAAAATATTTCATATTTATATGAAAAAGCATGTATCATGGCACGGCTTAAGCAAACGTGTCAAAAAAGTGACTTTATTTGGCTTCTTTTCATTTCGCCAAGCTCGGTAAGAACAGAGTCACTTACTTCGGAATGAAAATGTTCCCGAACGGAAGCAGGTTCAGCGCAATATTCTTCTCCCTCAATAACATCTTGTTTGTCTATGCAAATATTATGAAGTACGCAGCATGCCATTATAAACTTCGTTGTTGTCTCAACTTCAAGAAAATCTAGTCGCATAAGTTGCCGGAATCGACATTTTAACAATCCAAAGGCGTTTTCTATTCGCATCCGAGTTTGACTAAGTTTGTAATTGTACATCTTTTCTTGCTCAGTTAAATTTCCGTAATCCATATATGGAATTAACAAGAAATTTCTGATCGGATAATCAGAATCACCTAACAGATGATATTTTGGTAAACATAACTTTGGAAGTTTCTTACTAATGAAAGATAACTTCAACAACCGCGACTCATGCACTTTACTCGGTGCACCAATGAAAACGTCTATAAATTTTAAATTTGCGTCGCATATACCCTGCATGGGCACGGAAATAGTATCGTGCCTATTTATATATGTGGAACGAACTGTTTTTTTTGGCGCCCTTGTCGAAATGTAGGTTTCTGCAATGCAGCCTAATACGTTAGGGAAGCCACAGATTGCCGCAAAATCGTGTGCTATAATCTCTTTTTCAGTATCACTTTCAGGCAATTTTATGATGTCCGGTGAAATTTCAAGCAAAAACGACATAACATTATTTAGCACGTTATGGACAGAAGAATAAGACATATTAAATAGATTGCTAACTTCACGTATGGTTGTTTTATTGCTGCAAAACCTACATAAGAAAATTACTTTTAATAAGCACATAGATAGAATCATTCCAATTTTACCATAAAAACAACAACACATGTGTGCTTGGCGTTGCTTGTGGTCTCCCCCCTCTGTAATTCCTCCTTACGTAGGATGAACTGCTTTCGTATTTTGCAATTAAATATTGCGCGCTTTCACGCTCAACGCGAAAATTTCGTTTAAACTATAAATGCATTAACATAAAAATATACAGTACATAAACAAGCAGTGAGCAAAATTATGAAAGGGTTGTTTAGTATTTGCCTACTAGTTTTAAGGCGGTGACCTGAAATGGACTGAAAAAACCATAAGCCAAACTTCACAAAGAAAGTTTGATTTTTCCCTGAAACTTGGTGAACAAAATACTAATCCATTCCGTTATGAAAGGATTACCTCGCGGTCCGTGTACAAGTTGAGTACTTCATCTACAAAGTCCTTTACACGTAAGCATTTAACTTTTGGATGTAAGAGTATACCGATTTCCTCATCATCTGAAGAAGAGGACGACGACTCCAGGAGCTCATTGATTAGATTATTTCCTACAAAGAAGATTTTTTCCATTTCCGCGCTGACAAAGCTCTTCCAACTGTGACAAGGATGTCTAGTTTCTACATAAATCTACATATGTATGAAAGCACCACACTTTCTGGGTAGCATATTTACCTGACAAAATAAAATTTTATTGATTAATGTAATTTCAATTCACAAAAACTGCGGACAGCTGGAATATTTTAATAATACCATGTATGCGTTCAAATTTTGCATTTTCAATTCACCACCGCCAAAATAAATAATCAAAAAATGTTGGCATTTTATCTGTGCTGCTTTGACGCAGCCGATACATGTGTGCTAGAAAGAGGCAAGNGTGCGGACAGCTGGAATATTTTAATAATTCCATGTATGCGTTCAAATTTTGCATTTTCAATTCACCACCGCCAAAATAAAATATCAAAAAATGTGGGCATTTTATCTGTGCTGCTTTGACGCAGCCGATACATGTGTGCTAGAAAGAGGCAAATAGAGTACTATTTTGATTTGTTATTGTATTGATCAGCTGATTGAAATACCGTCGATAGCAGAGGGCAGAAAAAGTTACACTTTCTCATTTTTTTAGGGTTACCCTTAAGAGATAGTTGAAAAGTGCATCTATTTTACAAAAGAACACAAAGAACACAGCATTTGAAAGCGACATCAGGGTCAAAATTTTTATTTATTTATTTATTTGTTGTATTAAATTTATAATAAATTATAAAATTTNCTGCGGACAGCTGGAATATTTTAATAATACCATGTATGCGTTCAAATTTTGCATCTTCAATTCACCACCGCCAAAATAAATAATCAAAAAATGTTGGCATTTTATCTGTGCTGCTTTGACGCAGCCGATACATGTGTGCTAGAAAGAGGCAAGTAGAGTACTATTTTGATTTGTTATTGTTATTGATCAGCTGATTGAAATACCGTCGATAGCAGAGGGCAAGAAAAGTTGCACTTTCTCATTTTTTTAGGGTTACCCTTAAGAGATAGTTGAAAAGTGCATCCATTTTACAAAAGAACACAAAGAACATAGCATTTGAAAGCGACATCAGGGTCAAAATTTTTATGTAGAAAAGTAAACGCTATTAACGGTAGCGTTTGTAGCCGCTACAACAACAACAACAACGGTAGAAAAGATCGCGTAAGTGACTACATATATATATTTTCATAATTTTATTCTGAAATGCATTTTATTAGTGTAATACAAAATTATTAAAGTAGGTGCAGTATCGGAACTGTGTTATGAATCATGGCTTAAGCATACATACATTTTTTCAAATCAAATTGACTGCTGATGGTTAAGCATTTAATACCTATAAATTTATAAACCATGTAGATGGCTTGGGACAATATTACCACCAGCTACTTGCAAACGTACATTTTAAATCAAATAATACATTAGTGATAAATATTTTTATAGAAGGGAAGTGTATGCGGGTAATGTTTCTTTGAGACTTCGATTCGAGTTTGCGCCTAATGCCGGACTAACCTTTTAGGCTTGTCATTCCAGCGCGCATTACCTCATCCACAAGTAGTAGGTTACTTGCAATCACGGAGCATGAATTCAATATCTGTTTTTTCACCAGGTAGTTATCGTACACGCTCATATCAGCGGGTTTCATCGGTTCTCCTGTTGACAAATCTAATCCAATCGGTTCTGGATTGAGACGGTCCTCCTCCGTCAACTTAACAATTGTGTCTTGCGCATCGTAGCCGCTGTTGATTGCCAAATTTTTTGGAATGACCAGCAAAGCTTCAGCAAACGCTTGTATACCTAAGCGAACTTTGCCCTTTACAGTATCCTTATATTTCATGAGTTGATTATAAGCGCGCACTTCAAAAGCGCCTGCGCCTGGAATAACGCATTTGTCCACAAGAGCATTGTTGATAGCTCGTAGCCCATCACGAAGGGCATCCTTAATTTGCAGAATGGTGTGTTTGTTAGGACCCTTAATCAAAATGGTAACCGACTGTGGGTTCTTACAATCCTCCACAAAAGTGTACTTATTTTCGCCCAGAACGTGTTCGTAAACAACACCAGCGTATCCCAAATGCGATTCTTCCAAATCATCAAAAGAGTTCATGGCAGTGCCACCACATGCCAAGGCCAGACGCTCCATATTACGGCGCTTAGCACGGCGCAAAGCCATAATACCCTCTTTGGCCAAAGCATCAAGAGACATAGGGTCAATACCTTTTTGGTTGATAACAACAAAGGTCTTTTCAGTGCCATCGCAAAGGCTGCGCTTCAATGCAATAATTTTTTGGACTCGTTGATCGATGAACTCGCGTTCGGCACGTACAAATTTCTCGCGCTCATCGGCGGTTTTGTAGAAGAAACCTGAGTTGACTTCTGATTTTTCATACTCCAATGATACATTGCAAGTGAGGATGTAAGCATTCTCCAAGCGTTTTGGCATATCGGGATGACGGGTGCCGTGATCCATGACAATTCCCCGAATTAAAGAAGTATCCGTGGCAGTCTTGTGTTGCATCTCCATCAATTCAACCATGTGCAAGTCGACTTGTTTGTCTCCCTGACGTATAGCCAGCACAGCATCAACGCAGACTTCAGTTAACACATCTGCAAGCGCAGGGTGAACTTTCGTACGCAAGCTGGTATTGGCAATGCCCATTAAATTCTTCTTGTTGATTTCGATTGGTATTTTAACTGATTCCAACACCTCCAGTGCTTTGTTGCGGGCTTTCTCAAAACCTTCTGTCACAATGCGTGGATGAAGACCTTCGGCTAGAAAGATGTCAGCTTGTTTTAAAAGCTCGCCAATTAGTAAAACGGTTGAGGTGGTGCCATCACCAGTTGAATCGTCCTGAGCGGTACTGGCTCGTGCAATCATAGAAGCAGTTGGGTGTTGGATTTGCATTTCGTGGAGCAGTACATTACCATCCTTAGTTATTTTAATGTCCCCGGCACCAGATACCAACCTGTAAAAACGAATTGAATTTTAGTAAATGTCTTGGCGAAGATTAATGCATTCTTATTGAGAATATTGTTTTTTCAATATTTTCGCGACAGTGCTGGATTTATGTACACTATCGTTGTTAAAAGAATTAGAATATTTTTTCTTGCGCAAGCTTTATAGCAAATTCGAAGGCAATACTCAAATTTGCTGGCTAAATGCGCTAATTCTTGGAAATATTTTTTTCTTCATGATTACCTACAATAGAGGTATTCTCAGAGTCTTGCAAATCCATTGCTGGGTGCACAGATTGCATAACTTACAAACACACAACAACAAATTACATGGGAAACAACATTTCCTATCGCTGCAAAAAATGCAACGTCGAAATTCATGTATATATTTTGCAAAAAAGCATATCAAGATAAACTCGACCCTGTACTAGTTTTGTTGTTGGAATTGCTACATATTTCTTTCATTCCTCCCATTGCGATCATCATTAACTAAACAACTACTGTTATACCGGGTTTTGTATTAATTGCGTCGAATCCAGGCATGATCATGATCTAGGTGTGCGATATGTCATATTATTTATGCTATCAAGTTTTGTTCTTTATTTTTTGTTCATAAACACATTTCGTCGCCTGGGTAAAAGATTGTCGTATGTTGATTTCGGCAGGTTGAGGGAAATCGCGATTGAAGTTTGGTATGCAATTTTTCAAAAACGCGAAAATAGATATTCTCCAAAGTCTCTGAAAATGTTTCTAGTTCACAAAGTTCTCTAATTATTTATGAAAGATTTTCTTTATTAAAAGCGTCATTTGTCCACAAATTAGCAGCCACGTTGTATGAAATACGACAAAATGTGATCAAAATTTCTACTAAATTAACAACACTTTTAACTCAATATCTCGGAAACTAAACGAGATATCCAAAAATGGAGAACGACATCTTTAAGATATTGATTAGTTTAATATGGCTGCATCACTAACTAAATTTTTACTAAATTATCGAAAAAATTTTAAGCAATATCTCGGAAACTAAAGGAAAACTGATAACACCAATCTAAAGACCTTATTTCAAAATATATAACTAGAGCCAAAAATTGTCAAAATTGCGCTTACGACGAGGTTTGCCAATGCCTGCCGAGGGACGATCGCTGTTTAGAAAAAACCTTTTTTCGATATTTTTTGCATTGCTTTGACAAGGGTTTGAACCCAAGCGTTGCGGAGTGGAAGCGCGCACTGCTTACCACTACACCACAGCGGCCGACTGACTTTCCTCAACTTAAAAATTTAAATAATAGTTGCTCGGTGCATGATAAAAACCAGTTTTCTTTTTGGACAGCTTTGCAAACCGAGCAATCCGTGCACCGTGTAAGAGCTTTACAAGACTGCAAGAATACCCCTACTGTGTACTGTCGTTTTGAACATTAGGTAGCACTATGCTTGTAAATATACCAGTCTACACTCTAGACATTGCATTTCAAATCAAATAATTTCTTTTGCGCATACTTTATAACAAATATGAAGATTTTACTCAGATTTGCAGGCTATATGCGCTTATTTCAACCCATTTCAGAGTCAGCCGCTTGATGACGAATCGTCCAAATACATAACCTCAATATATTTCAGTAGGCGGCGCTTTCGCCAGCCATATGAATCCGCTTTATAGCAATTGCATTTAATTAAATAATTGATCGTTTAAATATAAGCAGATATCTTAAAGCGATTATCAAAAATACCATTTAATACTCACATTTTCATCGTTCCTTTTGGGCCCAAATTAGTACGCATCACATCTTGCAGACCTTTTGCAGCCGAGATGTTAATCGCCAACGCCTGAGCAGCACGTGCGAATTCAGCCTTTGGATTTAATAAGCTGATCGAAGCCATAGTTAATAATGAGTTTTAATTAACTGTTTTATATTACAAGCAATTAAACGTTTATAATTCCAGTTTCTGTTTGTAGGAAAATTTAGAAAACTCCCTAGCCCAATGGTCCAAATCGGGTGTAAAAAAGTCAACTGCAAAATGTGCAAGAACCTCAAAGTGGTATGTTCAGTGCTCAACATGACACAAATATGACATCCGTCATTTTCGGGTATGGCCACTCGGTGACTTCATTTCATTTTATAGAAGAAGTGGCAACCTTCAATGCAACGATGGGTCACGTTCCCCAATTTTGCAACAACAGCGACGTTGGGGCCGCGCAGCTGTTGGGGTTCGTCGGATTCGGTGAATCAGTTCAAACGAATCGAAGCAACGGAAAGCATAAATTTTCAATTGTGCGCTCGTAATCGCGTTCTGAAAAAAAAACTCTTTGGTTGTTTTAGTGATTAGCAAGTCTAATTATTTGTTCGGTAGTGATACAAAGTCAGAAAGCAAGACACGCAAGCAAATTTGTGGGCAGGGAACTAACTTAGCTGAGAATAACCGGTTTCCGGGGGGGAGACATAGCAGTACAAAAATGGCAAGGGTGGTGAAAGTGAATTGCGCATCAGTCGCCATTTTCGCAATTTTATTGCTAAGCGAAAATTTTGGATGCAGTGAAGCAAAGCGCGTTTTGACCAGCAACAATCGCAAGACTGGCGGTGGACGCACTAGCAGTAGTGGACACGTGACCAAACCAAGCTACCCGACACAAAGCAGCAACGGTGCAAGCAACTCGCATGCGGACCTTGCTAAACTTAGCTATTCTGGGTATAATTCCGCGCCCAATCGGCCAGCATCCGCAGCAGGAAGTGGTGCCACAAATTCCCAACCAATTGGCTGGAATGTACCAAAATCTCAAGGACCACCCCCTTCTTACTCAGCTTCTAATCCTGCGGGCGGTGCGCATACAAACATGCACGAGGCTCCACCAGCTTATCGCCCAAACAATGCCGCACCACCCAGTTATGGCAGCGCAACCAATGTACACACTCCAATAAGCGCCACTAATACGCATGGCGTGCAGAGCTCCTACCCCGGCGCTACGTACCATTCCCCTGGCGCGTTGCCAGCGGGAGCCACTTATTATTCATCACCTGGTCAACTACCTGCAGGTGCAAGTTATCACTCTCCTGGCTCACTACCACCAGGTGCAACCTACTATCCATCTTCGGGACACATGCCTGTAGGAGGCGGTTACTATCCTTCTGGGGGCCATATGCCAGCCGGTGGGGGTTACTATCCGGCTGGAGGCGGCGTACCTGCAGGTGCCACTTATGTTGCTCCTGGCGCTGCATTACCCCCCGGTGCTGTCATGTACTCATCACCACCACAGCAAACATCATCTGGATTAGGATTTGGTAAGGGAGAGGGAAGTATTTCTAAATCTAAATAATTTATAAATCTTAAATTTTAGGATCAGGATTGGCCGCGGGCGCAATTGGTGGCGCTATCCTTGGTCATGTACTTACACCCACAAATACTCGCGTGGTGGAATCTGCACCGGCTGCTGCCGCTGGGCAGTCTGGTAACAATGACGATAAAATCATCATCATCAACAACGGTCCGCCAGGCTCGGTGACCACAACAAACGCAGGCGGCGCAACTGTAATAACCACTGGCGTCGCAGGAGAAAATGGTACCCAACCAGCTGCGGTACCGGCACCAGTTCCGGCTCCAGGCGCTGCACCAGCTGATCCCGCAATACCCCACGTACCTTTAGCCCCCATGGGCGATAATATTGCAGCGCAAGCGACAAACGGCACAACCGAACAACCAGCAGCACCCGCACCAGCCGGTGAACAACCAGCACCTGCACCAGCTGGCGAACAACCCCCACCAGGTGGTATAATTTGTGTGCCCGTACGTATTAACGAAACTGATCCGGCAGATAACAGCAAAATGATTGAAGTCGAGAAAATTGCTTGCTACCCAGCCCCCCCACCACCACCGCCCGCAGGGACTGGTGCTGAAATGAACGGCACTGTACCGATGATGCCGCCAGCTGACGCAGGTAGTGCACCCTTAGCACCGCTAAGCCCGGTCACTGCAGCCTCACAGCAATTGCAAGCAAGTCCAACGCAAGCACCATTGATGCCCGACAATACTTCGGGGGGAACTAGTGGTGCTGCTTGGGTTAATTACGCTCATTGTAATTCATTTGCAGCTATGCTGTTGCCATTAATGATTGCTTTCTTTGGCATGCGTTAAATACGCGAAACTAAAAATAGCAACAAAAGATAATAACCAGAAAAGACGGTAAAATAAGAACAAAGTAAAAAAATAAAATAAGAACAAAGTAAAAAAAAAAAA